ATTCACAACTTCATGTATTTGATGCTCGGGAAATTATGCATTGTTTTCGTGAGCATCGCACATTCACATTCACAACTTCATTTATTTGATGACTAATGCTCTTGTTTTTTGTGGTCTATATGTTTGTTGTCGCCGTCTTTATTACAAGAGTATATTTTAAGTAAATGTTTAAGATATCTGGAGGTTCAACTAAAATTTAGTAATTAATACCAAGTGGCTTGTAGTCCACTGGTATTGTATTGCTCCCCTATGTGGGAGGTCTAGGTTTCGAGCCTCGTTGTAGACATAGATTGTATGGGTATTCCCTTCCTTTGTAATAAAAAAAAATTTAGTAATTAATACTCCTTCCGTCCCTGTCCTACTCTCTTTTTGCACAAGTTTTAAGGCAACAAAGGAAAAATAATTTATCTTTCAATTTTGCCGAATTTCGTAGAGATTTCAACACAAATATGGAGTTTTGATGAAATTAGAGCATGAGCTTTGCAATCTTTTAATCAATTTAAAAAATTGATATCAATGTTAGTATTCTACACTCAATTTATGGAGTTTTCCTACAAATAATGACTTTAAAACTTTTGAAAAATTATTCTTAGTTCTCCTTCAATCTAAGGTTTTTAAAAATAAAATAAATTTTGATTGAATCTCAAATCCTACAAATTGAAATACAGAGCATGAAAAAAAAATCTGTACTTTGAATCAATTTTTTACTCTTTTTATACTGAATTTTTCTCAATTTTGATGATTATACAGAGCACTCTTTTTTATACTCTGTACTTCTCAAAGAAAAATTACTCCGCAATTCCTGTCTATATATATCGGCAAAATTTTTTCGCCAATTTTTTTATTGATATGACATTTACAAATTAAAATCTACTCCGTATCCTGTCTACCTTATGGTCAATATAATGCTTAGTACCACTCCATATATATATATATATATATATATATATATATATATATATATATAGTGTGTGTGTGTGTGTGTTTGTTTGTTTTTTTTTTTTTTTTGAAAATTCTAAAAGATTTTGTTGAGAGTGGGATTTGAACCCACGCCCTTTTGGACCAAAATCTTAATCTGGCGCCTTAGACTAACTCGGCCATCTCAACTTTGAAAAGGTAACAACAGAGATGTTTTCTGTATTAAAAAATAATTTCTTGTCTGCTAATGGAAGAGAGTTCTAATGATGCTCACTTAAGCACGAGATGTTCCAACGATTAGAGAAATGTTATTTTTGAAACTTTTTTAAAACAGAGTGTGAATGGAAAAGTAAAATATGGTTCAGTTAAAGATGTTGCAAATATGTATTATGTTTCTACAAGAACTGTTAGTCGAATATGGAAAAAATGGATTGCTTGTGTTGCAAACGGTGTTCCAGTTGATATTTCTTTAAACTTGTCAGGTAATGTTGGAATGAAAAGGATTGCGATTAATCCTGAAGATATTGCTAGAATCTCATTGAATCGCCGGACAACAATTCGTTCTATGGCTAGTGCACTAAGCATGTCAAAAACAAGTCTTCAATTCACCGGTGAGTTAAAGAGGGATCTTTGAAATCCCACACAAATGCTATCAAGCCTATGTTAACAGAGGAAAACCAGAAGGTAAGATTACAGTTCTGCATATCTATGATTGATTCAAGTTTGTCCCATAATAATCCATGTGTCATAGCTATGTATGGTCGCGTTCATATAGATGAAAAATGGATTTTCCTCTCAAGAACTTCTCAAAAATATTACCTACTGTCTGAGGAAGATGAACCGTATCATACTTGTAAAAGTAAAAAGTTTATAACAAAAGTTATGTTTCTTTGTGTTGTTGCTCTCCCTCGGTTTGATTTAGAAAGAAATGAAATGTTTGATGGGAAAATTGGGATGTTCCCATTTGTTTATAAAGAACCAGCTAAGCGTAGAAGTAAGAACCGGGAAGCGAGAACCTTAGAAACTAAGCTCATTGAATATATAAATAAAGAAGTTACAAGAAAATGGTTGATTGATTATATATTATTGTCTGCAATACGTGCAAAATGGCCTCCAAGTAGTTCAAAAACTATATATATTCAACAAGATAATGCAAGGCCACATATTAGTATGAATGATGTTGAATTTTTGGAGGCTGCAAAGAAAGATGGCTTTGATATTCACTTAACTTGTCAACCTCCAAATAGTCCAGACATGAATGTATTGGATCTCAATTTTTTTAGAGCTCTTCAATCTTTACAACATCAAGAAGCTCCTCGCAATGTGGATGAATTTGTTGCTGCTACTCATATAGCCTTTAATGAGATCTCAGTAGAAAGTCTTAGTAATAATTTTCTAACATTGCAACTATGTATGGTTGAAGTTATGAAAAAGTTCGGAGGGAACAATTATAAGCTGCCACACATAAATAAGCAAAAGTTAGCCCGAGAAGGCTTATTACCTATCACTATTTCATGTGATCCAGAAGTCCTAACTGAAGCAATTTCAAGTCTCCAGCAGTAAAGTACTGAAAATGAGGTTGTTGGGTATGAAGTGTACTTGAATGTCGCCTGAGGCCACCCTGTCACGAACAAAGTGATAATCAATTTCCACATGCTTGGTACGAGCATGAAAAATTGGATTAGCACTCATATAGGTAGCTCCCAGATTGTCACACCATAGCTTTGGAGTTGAAATTCCCGGCACCTGTATCTCTCGTAATAATGACATGATCCATAAAATCTCAACACAAACATCAGCTAGAGCCTTGTATTCAACTTCAGTGGAGGATCTAGCAACGGTTCTCTGTTTCTTGCAAACCCAAGATATAAGATTAGTGCCCCAAAAACTGCATAACCACTCGTAGACTTACGATCTTCTAGACAACCAGCCCAATCCGAATCAGAAAAGGCATGAATTTCCTTTGAACTGGACTGCCGAATGCGCAACCCGAGGCCGAGATTTCCCTTGACAAACCTGAGCACACGCTTGAGCTGTTCCCAGTGTGATACAGTGGGGGCATGCATGTGTTGACAGAGCTGATTAACCGCAAAGATAAATCAGGGCGCGTGACTGTGAGATATTGTAAAGCCCCCGCTAGACTCCTATACTGTGTAGGATCATCATATGAATCTGCACTGAATGGAACATGTTTCGAAACAGGGATAGGAGTAGAAAGGGGCTTGCACTCAGCCATTCCAGCACGTTTAAGAATATCATTCATATCCCTTTGCTGAGATAAAATAATACCATCATTGCATTTAACCGTTTCAATACCCAGAAAGAAATTTGGCTCGCCAAGATCCCTGATTTTGAAAGCAGTTGACAATTTTGATATTAAGTGAGAAACTAGAACTTGATCACTTCCCATTACAAGAATGTCATCCACGTAAACCAACAGATAGACTAAGGCAGAATCCTTAGAATAAAAGAACAGAGAGACATCTGTTTTAGATGCTTGAAAACCAACTGATAATAAAAAGGCATGCAAACGATTAAACCAGGCTCTGGGAGCCTGTTTTAATCCATATCGAGATCTCTTTAGCAAGCAGACATGAGAAGGAAAATTAGTATCAACATAGCCAGGAGGTTGCTTCATATAAACAATTTCAACAAGATTACCATTCAAGAAGGCATTATGAACATCCAATTGCCTGATAGCCCATCCCGAAGATAAGGCTAAAGACAGAAGGAGTCTTACAGTTGTAGGTTTTATCACCGGATTGAATGTGTCAACGAAATCCTAGCCAGACACTTGATTAAACCCTTTAGCCACTAATCTTGCCTTATGTCTCTCAATAGTACCATCAGCTTTTCTTTTAGTCCGAAAAACCCATTTACAACCAATAACATTCATACCTGTGGTAAGAGGAACTAGAACCTAAGTCTGATTTGCAAGAGAGCATTGAATTCTTGGTCCATAGCATCACGCCACTCAGGACAAGAGAGCATTGAACTAGAACCTAAGTCTGATTTGCAAAACAGCTTGAGAATAACATGTGGGTTCTGTAGGACAAAACTGAGTCGATAAAGCCATAAGTGGTGCTTCAGACCTGCTGCGAGTAGCCATAGAATGAGTCCGTTCGGCAGGACTGGTGGACCGACCGCGAGGGCGCCCTCGCCGTCGCTGTAGTGGAGCTGCGACGTCAGCCGAGGCCGTGACGGAATCATCGAAAACATCCGGCTCAACGTCGGCAGGCGGCGGCTGATTTGAAGCTGCATGGTGGGGAACGACATCCGAGGGTATGGTGGTGGGTTGATGAGTCAAAACAAATTCCACCCACGGAGCTTCATGATATCGAGACAAATCCTGTAAAGAAGATTTAGTAGCAAAGGGAAAAATTTTCTTCATCAAATCTGACATGCCTGCATGTGTAAATCTTGTTAGTCTGAAGGTCCATGCACCTATACCCCCTAAAGGAATCCGGATAACCTATGAGGACACATGGAATGGGCATTATTCCGTCGCGAATGGGCATTATTCCGTCGCGAATCGCGTTTCGCGACGGAATGGCGACGGAATATATTCCGTCGTCTATCGGCTTGTCGTTTTTTGGTAGACGACGGAAACAGTTCCGTTGCAAAATTGGCGATGGAATTCGCGACGGACTATTTCCGTCGCCATTTGGCGACGGAATTATTCCGTCGCGATTCCGTCGCCAATTTTGCAACGGAACTGTTTCCTTCGTAAATCCGTCGTTATTTCTGAACCGAATATTCCGTCGCCATATTATTTTTTCGGTCGCCAATTCCGTCGCTCATTTCGCAACGGAAATATTTTCCGTCGTAATTCCGTCGTTTCATTGGCAACAAATATTCCGTCGCAAATCTTATATTCCGTCGCAATTCCGTCGCGTTTTTGAATTATTTTAAAATAAAATTTTGATTTTAAATAGTAATGAATGATTTTAAAATAAAAGATAACATAATTCTAAATTAAATTAAAATACTAATACATTACCAATCCACATTTCATACATAATATAATCGTCAATTAAACTCTAAACAACATAATAATACATTGTCAATCCACACTTAATACATAATATAATAGTCAATTCAAGTCTAAACAACATAATAATACATTATCAATCCACACTTAATACATAATATAATAGTCAATTCAAGTCTAAACAACACTAACAAACAACCATTAAAATCAATTGATTTGAGATGGAGGTGATGATGAAGTACCCGCTCTCCCGCCATCAATAGCATCAAGTCGTTGTTGCATAAGGAGAATAGTTTCCTTCAAACTCTAAATTTCTTGTTGTACATTTGCAGAAGTAGAAGTAGCATTGTCGGGTGGTCGCGATGTTGGTGTCATATTGCCAGAAGTGTTATCATTAGTTGGACCATGAACAACAGAACAACCATATGAACCAAGTCCATAAACTCTTCTTTTCTTATCGTGTCCACCAACCGCGTCATAGTATAATTGATTGTCATCCACCTGCTCCCCATTTTCTGCCAACATCTCCCGTTGCGATTCAACTTGTTCCTAAAATATGTTAGAAATTTAGTACAAAATATATGTAAAGGCATATATCTTTTAAAAACTTAAAACAAATTCAACTTACATGAATTTGTTTGGCTTTTTCAGCTATGAATGTTTGCCCATCGTGTTGTTTGGTATGTGTATGCCTGAACAGTTCATAATACGATGGACAATGACCTAATTGTCCTTCCTACAAATTATATTTAACAAACAAAAGCAATTATTAAAGTAAGAAAAAATTCGGCAGAGTTTCCTTTGTATATAAGACTATCTCCCTGTTCAATATATAATACAATTCAATTATAATCTCCAACATCAATCAATAAACACAATAAATCACAATCACAATCAACAAAAAACATAAAAGTTGGAGCAAGTAAACTCTAGTTATTCATTCTACCTAGAATCCTCATTAAAAGATTTAAGCTAGTGCTTCCCAAATTAACTCTGCAGTTTCTACTCCTAAGTTCAATCAATCCTCATTCCATATCTTATTTCCATATAATAAAAAACACATAATACTTAAAACTTAAACAATTCAAATGAACTTACAAGTTGAGCTGCAACTTTTACGTGAGGTGTTGATCCTGTGGTATGGGTAGATTGAGCAACTCCAGTTAAAACTCTTCCACGCCTATTTCTCTTAGCCAATTCTGTTTTCTTCTTGCCCTCCTCAGAATTCCAAACATCATTCCATTTTGTCCATATTTCGGGTGGGACATAGGGAGGTCTTGGCTTTTTCCTTATTCTGCTTATGTAATCAGCATATCTTCTTTTAGCCTTTATCTCCCAAGCATTATACACTACAACAGTTTTACTAGCATCCCACTCAAAAAATTTCTACAAAACACAATGTAAATACGATCTTACGTTAGACATGTAAACAAAATAACAATAATTCACTTTAGAATTAAAATACAATGCATGAGATTAAATATTACCTTGAATTCTTCCCAATAAAATTCAACTGTCTCAACACTAAGTTGTCCCCATGCATAACCATTGGGATCTATTCTTTCTTTGAACAACTTAGTAATTTTTCTAGCAAATACATCTGAGCTAGTCAACCTATAAAATGGAAAAGTCAAAATTTAAAAAATTAATATATATTCAAATAATAAATTTCATTTTAATTTAACTTACATATTATCCTTAACATCAATTCGTAGGCGTCCATGCACTCCTACAGAGTCAACCATATCACCTTGTTGTCTAACTGCATCTTGTCCAACCTGACCATTATTAGTAGCCGTAGATGGCGTGGATGGTGATAAGGGTCTTGATGCTACTATGGGAATCGATGCCGACGCCGATGCCGATGCCGATGCCGATGCTGATGCCGATGCCGATGCCGATGCTGATGCCGATGTGTGATTTCCATTACGTGGTAGAACATTTATTGACAGAAGTCTAGCTGCAAAACGACCTCCACGTCCTCCACGTCCTCTTGGCATCTTTCCTACAAAATATGAAAAGTGTAATATATATTAGTGTTTCATATAATATATATTTAGTAAGCATTACTTTTGAATTACCTATATAAACTCTAATTTTCATAATCGTAGTCGTCGTCATCATCATCATCATCATAACAATCATTATCTTCATCTTCATTAGTTGACGAACTAGAGTCAAAGTCAAGCTCATCATTTTCCTCTTCATTGTTATCTGAATTGTCGTCAGGAATGTCGAGATATTCCACATTTTCATCACTTAACCTAACGAATGAATCATCATCCACAATACTTGCAATTTCAGTTTCTTCAACTTCTTTTTCTTGAAAAGCAGTATCTTTCGTTTGGCCATTTTCCTTTTTGAAAGATTCTATCCTTCCCCGAGGTTGAACTTTACACACAACTAACCAATTAACTTTATCTCGTCTCATACTAGGGTACGGAACAAAACAAACTTGAATAGCTTGCATTGCTAAAATAAATGGCTCAAATTTGTTAAACCTTCTCCGTTGATTTATTTCAACCAAATTATATCGGTTATGAACCTTTACTCCAACATTAGGTGTTGGGTCATACCATTCACATTTGAACAAGACAGTGCGTTTAATTGGCAAGGCAGTATACTCAATTTCTAATATTTCCATCAACTTGCCATAGTAATCATCACATGTGCTACTTACACAAACACCACTATTCATTGTTGATTTATTCTCACCATGTGACTCTGTGTGAAATCTATACCCGTTGACAAAATACACAGGATACGATTTCACAGTTCTCAGTGGCCTTTTGGACAAATCACATATATACTTGTTCTCTATTTCATTTTGGCGTGCCTGTGCCATTGAAAAATTTACATATAAGAGTTAGGTTTTAAGTAATTTAGAACCAAGAGAAGTGGTTGACTACCAGACTTACATAATTTTCAAACCAAGAACCAAAATTTTGTTGTAGTTGTGTTGCAAGTTCTAACTCACTTATCCTGGGATCAAGTTCCTTCAACATCTCTTCATATAAACTGTAAATTTATATAACACAATTATAAACTCACGAATGATTCAACTATCATTAATTGATTGATTGATGTGGAACTTACGCAATGTAAGGCTGTACTTCCTCACAATTAAGCAATATATAAGTATGTGCTGCCAAATACTCTGCATCAGTTAGTCTTCTTGTCTTACATCTTCCATATAAGCGACCAGGATATTTAAATATGGACAAATTTTCCCCGTCCTCCTCAAGAACTCCTCCATCATCATTTCGAGGTACTTTTCGACTACGTGTATAAACGTGTGGCTCGAAATAATGAGAACAAAATATAGAGGCTTCACGCACTAAATATACATTGCAAATTGACCCTTCCACTTTAGCCTTGTTTTTCACATCTTTTTTCAACTCATGGAGCAATCTAAATTGAAAAAAGAATAAAACTTATTCAAATATTAGATACAATTGCATCTAACATCATTAATATTTTAAATAAAAAGTAACTATAGAAGTTACCTTTCAAACCCATACATCCAACGATATTGAACAGGCCCAGCAATCCTAGCCTCATATGGCAAATGTATTGGCAAATGCTCCATTGAGTCAAAAAATCCCGGAACAAATATGCTCTCCAATTTACGGAGAATTATTGAGATTTCATCTTCTAGTCTTGTCATTTCTTCCACTTTAATGACTCTTGCAGTTAAGCTTTTAAAGAAAATGCTTAGTTCAGTTATTGCTTCCCAAACCTTTGTCGGCAACATCTCTCGAAATGCAATTGGCATTAACCTTTGCATGAAAACATGGCAATCATGACTTTTCATTCCAAATAGCCTGTACTTGCTCATATCTACACACCTTCCCATATTTGAGACATAACCATCCGGGAATTTCAGATTTTTCACCCATTCACATAACACTTGTTTCTGCTTATTGTCTAATGAATAACAAGCTTTTGGGTATTTACCTGTGGCATGGTTCTTTTCTAACTCTTTTCTGTTACAAAAGAGTTTTAAATCTTCTCTTGCTTTCGCATTGTCTTTTGTTTTACCTTGAATCACCATTACTGTATTGAAAACATTCTCAAAAACATTTTTCTCGATGTGCATGACATCAAGATTATGTCGAATGAGATTTGATTCCCAATATGGTAAATCCCAAAAAATACTTCGTTTTCTCCATCCACAACTACGACTGCATGATTTATTCATCTCTTCTGCATTAGCACCTGTAACTTTTAATAGTCCAAATTCATCGATTTCTCTTAAAATTTCTGTGCCATTCTTAATCGGGGGAGGATGACCTATTTCCACACGATTTTTCGTGAATCTTCTTTTGTTCAAGCGAAATGGATGATTAAGTAGAAGAAATTTCCTATGATTGTCAAACCATGACATTTTTCCACCATTAGGAAGCCAAAATGCTTGTGAATGTTCCCTACAATATGGACATGCTAGTTTTCCTGCTGTTCCCCAACCTGATAACATAGCATACGCTGGGAAATCACTAATTGTCCACATCAAAGCAGCTCTCATTTGAAAATTTTGTTGCAAAGAGACATCATAAGTTAGCACACCTTCTTCCCATAATTGTTTCAATTCAGCAATAACAGGTTGTAGGAAAACATCGAGTTTGTTCTTAGGGTTGTTGGGTCCAGGCACTATTGCAGTCAGAAACATATATGGCTCTTTCATACACATGGATGGAGGCAAATTATATGGTGTAATGATGATAGGCCAACAAGAATATTGTTGTCCTGACTGTCCAAATGGTTGAAATCCATCTGTGCATAAACCCAACCTAACATTACGGCTTTCTAATGCAAATGATGGATGTGTTGCATTAAAATGCTTCCAAGCTTCCGAATCAGAAGGATGACACATAACTCCAGAATCGTGGCCATGATCCTCATTGTGCCATCTCATAGAAGCAGCTGTTGTTTTTGAAGCATAAAGTCTCTTAAGTCTTGGAGCTAATGGCAAGTAATACATTTTCTTGTAAGAGACAAGTGATTGGTTAGATGAACGACTTGATTTTTTGTACCTTGGTTGCTGACACAATTTGCATTGGGTTAACTCTTTATCATCACCCCAATACAACATGCACCCCAACCTACAACAATCAATTTTCTCCATTGGTAGCCCAAGCCCTTGTATTAGTTTCTTTGTCTGGTAAAAACTATCAACCATGTTATTGTCTTCAGGTAAACCATCCTTGAACAATTGACAGAATGCATCAAAGCATTGCTCTGGCAGACGATATTCTGTCTTTATGTTTAGCAATCGAGCCACAGCAGATAATTGTGTCAACTTTTCACAACCAGACCGTAATTGTCTATCAGCAGCATCTAACATGTCGAAGAATTTTTTATCTTCTACATTTGGCTCCTCACGCATATTCCTTGCTATGAGATTTGGACCAGCAACATCATAAACCATCTGCTGATATGATTCCAACGGTTCATTTTGCTCATTTAAACTCCAATTTGCATCAAACTCCATTGAAGTTTGATTGTGAGACATTTCTCCATGTCTATTCCACTCAAAGTAATTTGGCACAAAACCAAATTTGCACAAGTGAAATCTCACAATCTCAGCTTCTTCAAATGAGATGTGACGACATCTTTTACATGGACATCGAATTTTAGTTCCATCCATGAAATTCGGCTGACTACATGCAAACTCAATAAATGTTTCTAATCCTTCGATAAAAACTTGATTAAGATCACCACGTTGAGTTCGTCTTTGATACATCCAACTTCTATCCATATTACTCATTTATAGATGCCTACATATTTACACATATATTATCATGATTTTCAAATTAATGATTATGCAATAGAAAAAGCAACAAAAGAAGCAATCAAATTAGTCCTTAGAGAAATGTTAATTCGACTTGTAACATACCGATCTTAGAGAAATCTTAATTGATAGGCTAACTATTTTACCAAACAAGGCCATTATTAATTATATCTTGGGGATTTGGTATTGTTTTTAGGTACAGTGATAATATATTCAATTTATGAAGAAAACTAGCACAAAACAACAAACTTTATTATATGTTGAGTGACTTTGATTTGCACTGCATTGTCTATGGTGATCTATTCATGTGCAGCTTTCTCCTAGTCATTGCATTAATATGAATGACCAAAATAACTAAAACCATATATACAGGGATTAAAAACGAAAACTATTCCTTTCATTTGAAACTCAAACATAAGGTAAACTATATAGTCCAGAAATTTCACAGAGGCAATTAATATAAAAAGCATACAAGATATGAGTCAGATGGATTTAATTGTCTTTGATGATAAATGAGTAACCAAAAATAAAATAAAATCAATTCATTAACCACATCAAAGTTAGTATTTGGTAGAATACATTTGCTCAATTGTAAACCTGAGTTTTAATTAAAATGTATTTTTTTATGCACTTCTAAGTAATATTATATTTTAAGTAGAAAGATATTACATATTTTACAGTAAAATAATCTCACATAATATTATATTCATTCAAAATAATATATTGAAGTCACAGATATTAAAATACTAATTTTACACATATTATTAGTACAAATATGAGAGTATTCACAGAGCATTCACTTATTTATTTTTTATTTTGAACCATCAAAATGCCTGCTATGCATCAATACAGCAATATAATAGAGATTAATTCAGCATGGATGCATTGTCTGCTAGCACAAAACAATGGATGCCTTAACCTATTAACCATATTTTCTTTCTTTTCCCTGATTCACTTTCTCATCATTGATCATTCTGCATCGGACATGAACTTTCAGGGCATTATATTTTGCAATTGTCTCTCTTATTTTCTTTGCTCCTTAAAAAAGCATTAACAGTGTATCAAAACATTCAACTCATAAGAAACTAACACTACTCAGTGCACATAGATCATTCCTTCATAAGAAACAAAGAAACAAATAATACTCAATGCACATAGATCATTCCTAGGAAGATAAGCGAACAGTACTAAAGTGATTGGCATAAGGCTCAAATGGGAGAAGGAATCAACTGAGGGGATTAGAGAAAGAGTGATTTTGGAACCTTTAGAGGCTTTAATTAGGGACAGTCGGCTTCAATTCCTCAGCTCCTCCATAGCACCTTAGCTTTTCTTTCTTTTTACCAGAAATCAGAAATCAACTCTCTGTGTTTGGCAAAGATTACGAGATGAATTACAAGATGAACCACACAAGACTTGGACAGCACCAGACAACACTAAATTTACTTCAAAAAAAAAATATAAACTACGTAGACGGAGTGAAATATTACGAGATGAATTACCAGACGGAGGAGGTCGACGGCGCCCTGCTGCGACGGCGACGGCGTTCTGCGATGGTCGTTCTGCGTAGACGGAGTGAAACGGTGGTCTTGGTCTATCTGCGTTGATGAGGCAACTTAAATTAGGGTTTTTATTTTCCTTCTTAATATATTTGATTTTATTTGATGATTTTAATCTGACTTTGAAAACGACACCGCTTATATAGATAATATATAAAAGAATAATTTTTTTTAAAAACATATTGCGACGGAATTAATTCGGTCGTTAATTTCGTCGCAACATTTAGTCAAAACATCACGGATTAATTTTTTCACGACGCAAAAAATTATGTCGCCATTTCGGTCGTTAATTCGCGACGGAAATAATATCGGTCACTATTCCGTCGCGAACTGGACGACGGAGTTTAATCCCGTCGCAAATTCGGTCGTAATAATTTACCGCCAAACTTTCCCGGGTTTTATTTTCTCTTTGCGCCAAACAGCGCGACGGAATTAATTTCCATCGCGAATTCCGTTGTTAAATTGCAACGGAAATTATTCCGTCGCGATATCCATCGCTATATTGCGACGGAACATTGTCCGTCGCGATTTTCTGTCGCAATACGCGATTTTTCTTGTAGTGGTATGGCCGCGTTCATATAGATGAAAAATGGATTTTCCTCTCAAGAACTTCTCAAAAATATTACCTACTGTCTGATGAAGATGAACCGTATCATACTTGTAAAAGTAAAAAGTTTATAACAAAAGTTATGTTTCTTTGTGTTGTTGCTCTCCCTCGGTTTGATTTAGAAAGAAATGAAATGTTTGATGGGAAAATTGGGATGTTCCCATTTGTTTATAAAGAACCAGCTAAGCGTAGAAGTAAGAACCGGGAAGCGAGAACCTTAGAAACTAAGCTCATTGAATATATAAATAAAGAAGTTACAAGAAAATGGTTGATTGATTATATATTATTGTCTGCAATACGTGCAAAATGGCCTCCAAGTAGTTCAAAAACTATATATATTCAACAAGATAATGCAAGGCCACATATTAGTATGAATGATGTTGAATTTTTGGAGGCTGCAAAGAAAGATGGCTTTGATATTCACTTAACTTGTCAACCTCCAAATAGTCCAGACATGAATGTATTGGATCTCAATTTTTTTAGAGCTCTTCAATCTTTACAACATCAAGAAGCTCCTCGCAATGTGGATGAATTTGTTGCTGCTACTCATATAGCCTTTAATGAGATCTCAGTAGAAAGTCTTAGTAATAATTTTCTAACATTGCAACTATGTATGGTTGAAGTTATGAAAAAGTTCGGAGGGAACAATTATAAGCTGCCACACATAAATAAGCAAAAGTTAGCCCGAGAAGGCTTATTACCTATCACTATTTCATGTGATCCAGAAGTCCTAACTGAAGCAATTTCAAGTCTCCAGCAGTAAAGTACTGAAAATGAGGTTGTTGGGTATGAAGTGTACTTGAATGTCGCCTGAGGCCACCCTGTCACGAACAAAGTGATAATCAATTTCCACATGCTTGGTACGAGCATGAAAAATTGGATTAGCACTCATATAGGTAGCTCCCAGATTGTCACACCATAGCTTTGGAGTTGAAATTCCCGGCACCTGTATCTCTCGTAATAATGACATGATCCATAAAATCTCAACACAAACATCAGCTAGAGCCTTGTATTCAACTTCAGTGGAGGATCTAGCAACGGTTCTCTGTTTCTTGCAAACCCAAGATATAAGATTAGTGCCCCAAAAACTGCATAACCACTCGTAGACTTACGATCTTCTAGACAACCAGCCCAATCCGAATCAGAAAAGGCATGAATTTCCTTTGAACTGGACTGCCGAATGCGCAACCCGAGGCCGAGATTTCCCTTGACAAACCTGAGCACACGCTTGAGCTGTTCCCAGTGTGATACAGTGGGGGCATGCATGTGTTGACAGAGCTGATTAACCGCAAAGATAAATCAGGGCGCGTGACTGTGAGATATTGTAAAGCCCCCGCTAGACTCCTATACTGTGTAGGATCATCATATGAATCTGCACTGAATGGAACATGTTTCGAAACAGGGATAGGAGTAGAAAGGGGCTTGCACTCAGCCATTCCAGCACGTTTAAGAATATCATTCATATCCCTTTGCTGAGATAAAATAATACCATCATTGCATTTAACCGTTTCAATACCCAGAAAGAAATTTGGCTCGCCAAGATCCCTGATTTTGAAAGCAGTTGACAATTTTGATATTAAGTGAGAAACTAGAACTTGATCACTTCCCATTACAAGAATGTCATCCACGTAAACCAACAGATAGACTAAGGCAGAATCCTTAGAATAAAAGAACAGAGAGACATCTGTTTTAGATGCTTGAAAACCAACTGATAATAAAAAGGCATGCAAACGATTAAACCAGGCTCTGGGAGCCTGTTTTAATCCATATCGAGATCTCTTTAGCAAGCAGACATGAGAAGGAAAATTAGTATCAACATAGCCAGGAGGTTGCTTCATATAAACAATTTCAACAAGATTACCATTCAAGAAGGCATTATGAACATCCAATTGCCTGATAGCCCATCCCGAAGATAAGGCTAAAGACAGAAGGAGTCTTACAGTTGTAGGTTTTATCACCGGATTGAATGTGTCAACGAAATCCTAGCCAGACACTTGATTAAACCCTTTAGCCACTAATCTTGCCTTATGTCTCTCAATAGTACCATCAGCTTTTCTTTTAGTCCGAAAAACCCATTTACAACCAATAACATTCATACCTGTGGTAAGAGGAACTAGAACCTAAGTCTGATTTGCAAGAGAGCATTGAATTCTTGGTCCATAGCATCACGCCACTCAGGACAAGAGAGCATTGAACTAGAACCTAAGTCTGATTTGCAAAACAGCTTGAGAATAACATGTGGGTTCTGTAGGACAAAACTGAGTCGATAAAGCCATAAGTGGTGCTTCAGACCTGCTGCGAGTAGCCATAGAATGAGTCCGTTCGGCAGGACTGGTGGACCGACCGCGAGGGCGCCCTCGCCGTCGCTGTAGTGGAGCTGCGACGTCAGCCGAGGCCGTGACGGAATCATCGAAAACATCCGGCTCAACGTCGGCAGGCGGCGGCTGATTTGAAGCTGCATGGTGGGGAACGACATCCGAGGGTATGGTGGTGGGTTGATGAGTCAAAACAAATTCCACCCACGGAGCTTCATGATATCGAGACAAATCCTGTAAAGAAGATTTAGTAGCAAAGGGAAAAATTTTCTTCATCAAATCTGACATGCCTGCATGTGTAAATCTTGTTAGTCTGAAGGTCCATGCACCTATACCCCCTAAAGGAATCCGGATAACCTATGAAGACACATGGAGAGGATCTGTATGACATTTTGTGACGATTGTAAGGACGAAGATGGGGATAACACAGACAGCCAAAGACACGAAGAAAAGAGTAGGAGGGAGGATATTTATGTAACAAATGGTGGGGACTGGAATTATTTAACACATAAGATGGCATTCTGTTAATTAAATAAGTGGCTGTCTCAAAAGCAAAATCTCAGAATTTTAAAGGAACAGAAGCATGAGCTAGGAGGGGCTAGACCAGTTTCAACAATGTGATGATGCTTACGCTCAACACGACCATTCTGTTCATGTGTATATGCACATGATTGCTTATGTTGGATTCCTAATTGGACAAAAGAATTGTGCAATTTTTTATATTCAGCACCTAGGTCAGATTGAATGGATTTTATTTTGCAATTGAATGACCTTTCAACAAGTATGCGAAACTTATCAAATATGACATAAAGATCAGACTTCAATTTCATAGGGAAATGTCATGTGAAATGAGAATAATCATCTACAAATATTACAAAGTAACGATAACCATTTGTAGATAAAAGAGGATCAGGTCCCCAAATGTCTGTGTAAATTAAATCAAGAACATGCGAACTAGAGGAAGTAACACGTGGTAGGGTAAAACGGGCGGATTTACCCAATTGACACGCATTACATAAATTATTTTCACAACTAACTAAAGACCCACGAACTAAAGAAGGCTGAAGAATACGACTGAGAACACGATGATGAGGATGACCTAGATGATTGTGCCAAACTGATGCTGAGGCACGGGCTTAATAGAAAGCTGAAGGGGACGTGTTTGGCAACGGTAGAGTGTATAGTCCCCCAGAACTATTGCCCCGAAGAAGAACTTCCTTAGTATTGATATCCTTCACAAAAAAAAAAAAAAAAAAAAAGGTGGGGTGAAACTCAAAAAAGACTTTATTATCATATGCAAACTTTTGAACAGATAACAAAGAATTTGACAAACTCGGAACATGAAGAATATCAGACAATTGAAAAGACCGAGAAGCGGTATTGAAAGAAGCATGACTAACATGACTAATAGATAAACCCATACCATCACCGACACGTAAAGTGTCGTTACCAATATATTCCTCCGAAGTGGTTAAGGCAGCAATGTCTGGGGTAGCATGGTTGGTAGCACCAGTGTCTGGAATCCACATTTGAGACCCACCAATATCTGAATTATTTGGGTAGGTGATATTGGCCTGAGCTGGTGGATCATACCGATTGTAACATGCAACCGCTTCGTGACCGGTCCTTCTACAAATTTGACACGTGACCAGATTACCCCCTCCGTTATTGCCGCGACCGGGGCCACCACGCCCGCGGCCACCTTGCTGTCGGCCTCCGCCACCACGACACTGATTTCCGCCGCCGCCTCGTTGATTTCCGCCGTGGTTTTGACCACCACGGCCTGACCGACCGCCACCACGTTGGACCGCCAATGCCGCTGGGAGATCACCATAGTCCCGGTTGGAGATAAATTCATGGGCGCCGAGGAAGTCTGCCAACTCTTGAAGGGTTATCGGTTGACCTCGAACAGAAAGAGAGGCTGTCAATGCCTGGAACTCCAGCCTCAATCCGCGAAAGACGAATATATTTTGATCGTCTAGGGTTACGGTTCGGCCGGCCAGGGTTAATTCCTCAATGATTACCTGTGCACGGCCGATGTAGTCTGCCACAGATGAGTCGCCTTGATCTAAACCTTGTAATTGACCAAGAAGATTTAGAGTGCGAGCTCGTGAGGAAGAGGACAGAGGTTGCACGATAGCCTCCCAAAGAGCACGACTCGTACGATGACCGACGGATAGGGGCATGACTTCGTCGGAGAGGGAGGAGACAAGCATAGACAATAATGCTTGATCTTGGCGCATCCATAATCCATACGCAGGATTCGGCCGTGGGAGAGAGTCGGCGGCCGAAAGGAGTGCAGGCGGTGATGGCTTGGTGCCATCAACAAACCCCATTAAATCATGTCCGTATAAAAATTGAACCACTTGCGTTCGCCAAAACAAGAAATTATTGAAGGTCATTTTTGTGCTAATTAATAAAGTGGTGGGCGGTGGACAAAGACGTTATAAGAGAAGAACTGGAGGAAATAGTAGCAGCAGAAACGGTCGGTTCAGAGGAATTAACAGATCCGTCAGCCATGGGAAGAGAGAAAACCCTAGTTTACTGATACCATATGAGAACTGATGGAATTGTATTAATAGAACATAATTACAATGAGTTCAGGTGATGAGAATATATTCAGTAAAGAGTCACATAGTAACTAGGAATAGGAGTTCTAGATTGTATAGTCCTAATACTCCAAACCCTTCTCTTTTCTTAATTCTTTTTTTTTTTTTCCTTCTTTCTTTCACTGGGATTCAAACTTCTCTTTTAATTCTTCTTCAAACTTTTCTCTTCTCTTAACTTTGCTCCAAACTTTTCTCTTCCAATTCCTTAACTATACGCCATTCGCTTCAATTCCCTTCTACTGACTTTGCTCCTTACTCTTCTCTTGAAATTAAATGTTCATCATTTGTACGTCATTTTCTCCTCAAATAAATTCGATTTAAGCTTCAAAATTTTCTTCAAAACTAATTCTTCAAGAAAACTAATATTTCTCCTTGAATTTTCTTCATTTAATTTTGTCTTTTGGTCACAGTCTCGTCACACTTCATCTTTTACTCCTTTTTGTCATAATCTTGCTCAATGTAAATGCTTTGCTCCTTTTCTATCTCAAGTAAATTTTATTCCATCTTCCCTCTTGATCAGCTTCCTTGAATCAACACTGCTTCTTTAAAATAATTTTTCCTCCTAAATACTAGTACATTTATACAATTCCAACAAAATTTTGAGGTTTCTAAAATTTTCAACAAAAATACATTTTAATTCATCAAAATCTTAATACAAATATTCCTAACACTAACAAGTCTGGATTCATGAATACACCGTAAGTTTCCTTTTCATGCTTTGTTTGAAAATAAAATTAAAAAATATTTTCATACCCCTCTTAGCTTGTACAACTTGTCAAGGGAGCACAAATTAAAGATTCAGATCTAGTGACGATGGAACTAACTTATCGTGATTCCTTAAGAGCAACTAGTATACTCTCGATCATGGTTCGCCTTGTAAAATTGACCATCGACATAAGATTTATTTTTAGTTTATTGAATGTTTATTTTTAGTACATTGAATGTTCACTTTTAGTATATCGAAGGTTCATTATCGTAGTATACAATCTAAAAATAAATATTTAGGGTATGTTTGGTTCATGGGTTTACACATCAGGAATGGGAATCAAAATCATAGTTAGTGTTTGGTTGACAACTTTTTAAAACAACATTATGGGATTTGATTACCCCTACAATTAAAAATCTCTTCCTTAATTAAAAACAGGTATCATTCCATCTTATTGGTAATATGATTTTTAAGTTTGAATTAATTCTTTTAGATTTTTGTTTTGATTTTTTTTTTAATTGGTGCTTTGGATGTCAGTATATTAGGATCAATTGCATTAATTTTTTATTTTTGTATTTTTAAAACCTTTAGTTTATTCCCGTTATAAGGTCATACATAACCAAAGATAAATATTGGTAATCATTCCAATTTCACCCTACTACCAAACATGCAAAATACTTTCACCAAAACTCATTGTCATTACTAAGGGTGTGGTTGGTTACGTTCATGGGTTTCCTGTACAGGAATGAGAATCAAAATCATAGTTAGTGTTTGGTTGACAACTTTTTAAAACAAAACTATGAGATTTGATTACCCGTTCAATTAAAAACCTCATTCCCTAATTAAAAATGGGTATCATTCCATCTTATTGGTGATCTGATTTTTATGTTTGGATGAGTTCTTTTTGATTTTTTTTTTTTTTTGATTTTTTTTTTCATATTGGTGCTCTAGATATCATTATATTGGATCAATTTCCTTGATTTTTTGTTTTTGTATTTTTAAAACCTTTATTCCCATTATAGAGTAATACATAACCAAACATGCACCAATTGGTAATCATTCTAATTTCACCCTACTACCAAACATTCAAAATACTTTCACCAAAACTCATTACCATTACCAAGTATTTGATTCCGATTCCGATGTGCGAACCAAACATACCCTAAGTATTTGATTTTCATTCTGATTCGGATTCCCTGTGCGAACCAAACACATGCACTATTAATTAATACATTAATAATGAATCCTCAATATATTAAAAATAAATATTTATTAATGATCCACATTGCAATATGAACTATGGTTCGAAGTATAATTTGCCCCGTAGGAGTTGCTGAGTAAGACAATTAGCCAAGACTGGTTGCTCATCATTAATTTCTCAACCGTTAAGCCTTTTAAACTGCTTCCCAGTTGCCCAAAAAAAAAAAATCTGTGGATTTCCATGGTTTGTGTTTTATAAGCTCATCACCTTTTTATTTTATTTTATTAGAATTGACTCTGTTACGATGTAATATATGTTCATAAATCATAACTATTTTATCAAACTATTGAAGCATAAAGAGTCAATATTATCCCCACTGAGGCCACCCATGACCTCCTATATGGGAAAGCCATTTCGTACCACTAGACCACAAGGTCATTGGCAGCTCATCACGTCTTTAAGGAGTTTCCATGGAGCATCTAACTGACCTAATAAATCTTATGGATCCACAAATTTTCCAATGACTTGACATGAGAATTAATTGCCAATACAAATGGTTTATAAAATAATAATAATAATAATAGTATTATTATTATTATATTAAAAATTTTAAGCTAGATATGATATAAATGTGACTTAAAATTAATTAAATTAAACTAGATACGACATTAGAAAACTACTTCTCATTGCACTGAAAGGTAACACAAGTTACAAACAGTTTAAGCACCTATCCTAGCACAAGAGGTCTCTATTATTATTATTTCCATTTTACTATATAGAAATACTAAAGCATTTCATTTAATTTACACTTTTTTTCTGCAATTTCTTGGGTCCAGTAGCAGAACTTGCTACTCAAGGTAATGGTAACGAGCTAAGTAAAACCTAGAATATAGAGATATAGATAGATATATATATATATATATATATATATATATATATATCACTTAAAACCCTAATTAACAAAGTAACATTAAAATTAAGCTATTGTTTGGAATAGATATACACGTCTTTTATGTGTATATATCTGTTCAAAACAACTCGGCAGTTTCGGGTAAGGGCACTGGAATTCCCATTATGCCATCCTGGGGTTGAACATTGGCAGCGTCATCAAAGAGCCATTTTTCCAGCAAGGTCAAGGGCATTTGAGTCTCATGAGGAGGGGCAATATTGTCATTGTTGGGCTTGGTTTGGGTTTGGAAGGTGGGTGGGGCGGCGGCGGCGCGTGCGAACACGGGCTTGCTCTCGACGGCGGAGAAAGCTTCGGAGTTGTAGCTGAAGATGGAGTGGTCAAAGGTGGCCTCACTAGGGCTGGAGGTTGAACCGGCGAGCCCGGTTTGAGTAGTGGTGGTCTCCGAGTTGGACCGGGTCGGGCCGTTGCTTTTCACCCAGCTCTCCAACAACCTCGCGATGTTTTCAGCGCTTGAAGCGTAGGGACCGGTCTGGACCGGCGGGTTGGGGGCCGGCTGAACCGGGTTGGATTTGTCAAGGGATAAAGCCTCACAGAGGGCTTGTTTGGCTAAGTGGATGTCGGTTTGGAGCCTTCTTTCCCACTGGCCCTTTGAGATTGAGTGGTGAGAAGATGAAGAAGAATTGGCGCCGCCATTAATGTTGTCTGCATTTGCATTATCTTCTCCTTGCATCTTCTTTAGCTTCTTCTTCAGATGAGTGTTCCAGTAATTCTTTATGTCATTATCTGTCCTTTGAGGAAGGTATGAAGCTATGGCTGCCCATCTATGCTCAGCTCATCACAAACAAAAATTATGTCATTATCAAAATTTAATTTTTTTTTGAAAATTTGTTAGTTTAATCAATTTGTGAAAAAAAAAAAAAAACTAAATACTCTGTGCCAACCACTATGTAGTGTTACGACACATCTGTTATCATCCCTAATGGATGATTACAACTCCAACCCGGTGGTGGGGGTATTGATTCTTCGATTAAAAAAGATAAAAAAAAAAGTATAAAACATATATACCTTATAAAGAATCATGAGTGTTTAAAAAAAATATTCTGTGTATATAAAAAAAATATTTTATTTAACACTTTCTCGAAATTATCTACTAATTTATTATTATTATTGTTTTTTTTTTTAGAAACGGTGATAAAATATCTTTAAAAAGACTTTCAATTCAATTGTATTTTCATTTTTCCATCTTAAGGGTGTCAAACCTTAAAATTTTAATAAAGTTTTCATCCATATATATATATATCATAACAAAAGGTGAACATAAAAAAGTAAGGTATAAATATTGGAGATTTTGGGAGATAAAAATATTAGATCTAGTCTTAATTAAACCCAAAAAAAAAAAATAAAAAAAAAATTGTTTTTGTTTTTTGAAATTGGTTTGAATTGTTTGAATTTAATTTTAAAGGGTGATTTATTTATTTTAGTATACCGATTGCCAAGAAGTGCTTGGAGGTGAATAATCATCTTCTCCTCTTGTTCAGTGAAGTTGCCGCGTTTGATTCCCGGCCGGAGATAGTTAGTCCACCGGAGCCGACAGCTCTTGCTGCACCTAAGCAACCCTGGAAATTACAACCATCACAAAAAAATAATAATAAAAATAAATATTTTGGATAGAAAAATACAAGCTAATTAAGAAACTATCTCTCTCTCTACTTCTTTATGCATTCACTCCATCTGAGAAAACAATAAGTACCCTCCTTTAATGAATCAAACCTACCAAAAACCTAGGTTGAAGAGATATCAAACACAATAATACAACTTGAAGAAAATGGAAAAAAGAAAAAAATCATAATCATAATCATAACCCTACCGTCCACATAAATCTAGCTAGGTCAAATTACACCAAAATGATCTGATCCGGAAAAACCAGCAAGCGAACCGACAAAGTATTGAAAAGAAAATTTGTATTAAACTATCAGTATTTAGGTCAAATTACACCAAAACGATTCGATCAGAAAAGAACAGCCAGCGAACCGACAATATTAAAAAAGAAAAAAAATTTAATAAATTACCAGTATTAGTAGGAACAGCTCTCCAATTGCCTGGACCATTTTCTTGGATATAAGAAACCAAAATGATGTCTTCTTCAGGAGTCCATGGCCCTTTCTTCACACCAACTTTATCACAGCAAGGGGGCCTTCCCATTTAGCCCTATGATCTCTCTCTAGCTTCCTTCCTATATATTTATAATAATTCACTTTCTATTTTTTTTACTAATCTTCTCTCCTCCCCTCTTAGGGGATTCCTTTTTCTGTGTGGAGAAATGGTTGAGACAAGCATACACTGCAAGGGGTACTACCCATATACATATATAGGCAGGGAGTGAGAGAAATTAATTAAAGAGGTTTATTTTAATTTTAAGTATAGCTAGGCTGACCGAAGCTAAAGAGGCCGGGTAAAAGGGGTCTTTAATTTTATTATTATTACTATTTTTCGCCTGAAATAATGGGTTATAAATACTATCTACCTTTTTAATTTATATAATTATATATATATATATATATATATATATATATATATATATATATATATATAAAAGTTTTCAACTCATCATTAATTCACTAACTATTATGTTACTCTTCCCCAAAAGGTTGAATCCTCAATCCTAATATCCCTCCACGTCCTGGTCCGACAAAGCAACTCTAAGAGCCCCACGCCAGGCCCCCTCCCTCCCCCCCCCCCCCCACACGCCGTCCCGACAAATCACGGTGACTCAATGGTTCAGTGGACAGGACCAAATGCCGGTACGCATAAGGAATCTGCTCACTTTATACATAATTCTCACACTGTCGCCGCCAAAATTTAAACCTTGATTTCTTCTCCCAAATACTGCCCACTGAACCATTGAGCTAAACCCGTACGGTCTAACTATTCTACTCTAACACTACTACCAGAGGCAATAATAATAATAATAATAATAATAATAATAATAATAATAATAATGCACATACGTATATAATATATGGTTGAGATGAAATTTAGATTTTTTAAATAAGATATCTCGAATAATATTAATTTGGCCCTATTAAATTAGAAACAATATAAATCATTTATAAGAAATTTTTAAATGAAACAAAGAAAGTCAAAGGAAGACAGCACAGAGCATTTACTCCACATTTTGTGATTATATATGCTTTTGTGAGCCCTTTAATTTGATCGTCTCCACCTCACTAATTTAAACCGCGTGGTGCATTCAATGCCACCATTGTTTTCTTTAAATTTTTTAAAAATATATTTTACTATTAGTAGTAAATTTACTTTTTACTTTTTCTTTATTATTAATGCATCTCATAAAAGATTGAGAAATTAAAAGAGTCAAACCTTAATCTAATGCCAAAAACACTCGATTATTTATTTAAAGAGCTTATTAGACGACATTTTTCATCAATTTTACCAAAAAACATCTTCGCAATTTTATTGTGTATGTGTATTGAATTTCAACATTGCCATGCATATATCCTTTATAAAAATAAAGTAAAAATAACTCAAAATTACTTCATGTCAAACTTAAAATAAAGATCAAACTCAAAAGTCTCATATTAATATACATGCAGAGAGCTAGGTTCAGGCCCATGATCAAGAAGTTCTTTATCTCAAAATTATTGGTAAATTATGGTCCACACAACTGTATGGACCATGAATATCAGGTACATTTTAATATATTAAAAGTATATTATTTTTGTACTGAAGGTACATTATATAAAATATTATACCCTTAGTATATTACAAATGTACTTTCAAAAATGTACCTTACGTACATAAATAATGTACCCTTAATATATTAAAAATGTACTTTTTATTTATGGTCTACACAATCGCAAATTATGCAGTGGACTCGTGTCCACAATGCATTGTGGACAGGAGTCCAAAACGACGTCGTTTTTAGGGAAAACGCGTCATTTCAGTTAAAATGCATTGTGGACACGAGTCCAAAACGACGTCGTTTTCAGGGAAAATGCGTCATTTTAGTTTTTAAAAAAAAATTAATTTTGCGTTAACGGCGTTATTCGTTTGTGCCATTATGAATGTACAGTTATGGGAATTATGAATGTACAGTTATGGAATTATGAATGTACAGTTATGGAATTATGAATGTAAGTTATAAAATTATGAACACAGAGCTCTAACATTATGAACTTACAATTATGAACATATAGTGATAAAATTATGGACATAGAGCTCTAAAATTGTGAACATCGAGCTTTGAAAATTATGATTTTACAGTTATTGAATTATGAATGTACAGTTACGAAATTATGAATGTACAGTTATGCAATTATGAATGTACAGTTATGGAATTATGAACATAGAGCTCTGACATTATGAACTTACAATTATGAACATATAGTAATAAAATTATGAACATATACTCCTATAACGAAGCGGTCCGGAATTTAAAAAAAAAAAAAGAAGAAGAAGAAGAAGAAGAAGAATAAGAAGAAGAAGAAGAAGATAACCTAACGACACTGTTACTCGTGTCCAGCATGCATGCTGGACACGGGTCCATAGCATAACGATTGCCACACAAGTGTGTAGACCATGGTCCATGCAATAATGATTGAAAATTATTACCACTTAAATAAAGTCTGAAAAATTAAATATTAAAAAAAAACATTGCTACATAAAATTTTATCTATAAATTTCATTCTCAATTAATTATATTTTTCAATTTTCTAATTCATTAATGTATGTTACTAATTGTTTTAAATCCTCTTTATTTATTTATATTATCGAATATGGTTGGTAATTAAGAAGAACATTTTGTACAGTAAGTAAAAAGGAAATTATTATTGTACACACCACAAATTTGGTTTTGGATTAAAATCTTTAATTTACTAGACACTAAGAATCCATTAATAATGATTAGGATATCTTTTTGGTAGGTTCATATATATTAAATATTTATGCAGGGTTCCTTTCAACCGATTAAGGCCTCGCATGGAGATTTCTAAAGCCAGATCACTAAACACGAAATAAAATTGATTAATGAGGTGAGTAGCTATTGTATTATCATTATTTATTATTGATTATGGACAGACAAAGACACAGGTAACATGGCAAGTTGGAAATTAGATTAAAGTGAACTCTATTTTGTTTTCTTTTTTCTTGTACGTTCAGTATATGGGAAATTAGAACGGTTGCGGATGATCAACATTTCGTAACTGTTTAACAACAATCGCTAAAAATTCAAGACTTTCCGTGACTACAGTATCCACAACTGTTGTACAATAGTTGCAAAAAGTCCTTTATAGCAGTAGCGGATTAGCTGTTCTGTACTAGTGAAATTAAAACTCGAATTCAGATAATTGCATGAAAATCACCATTTCAAAGTTTTTTTTTTTTTTTTTTTTTTTTTTTAATTTTATAACTCAGGTCTTTTGTTTTTGTCTGATTATATTCTGACCTTCATGAATTTGTCCCTAGCCTTATAAAGAGCGAGACTCAACACCTGTACACTTATGTGTACAAATAGTCTAACCCAAATCTAAACTCTCAATGTTTGTGTAGTAGCAGTCCTCACCTAATCGTTAGAAGCATGTCTTATTAAACCTTCTCATCTAACTACTAGATCAAAGGGAATTTTTATTGTTTTTTTTAATGAATAAATTGTCTAGTATTAATCTCATTATAAATTAGTTGACACATGTAATTTAATTACATGCATCCTTAAGTGTGCATGCATTGAGGACTTTCTAGATTAGTCCATTTAATCAAATTGGCAATAAGTAGGGACCATGCATTATGCCCAATGCTTCAATTTCTATAATTTATGATTAATTGACTAATTGTGTTAGCAAAAATCTAAAGAAATTAATATGTAAATAGAAGTTGAAACTCTCATTAAATACAGTTGGTGATACGGATTGGAATTCATTTTCAAATTATGATAATCTAAGACGATAATATCTTTCTTTGTCAACTTGATTCTTAAAATTTTCAATAATTGTGACCTACTCTAATTTAAAGGAGAAATTTTTACATAACATTATTATTGATGGAGGAATGAGGCCTCAGTCCAAGGTCAATTGGACTAAAAAGTGGAGATTAGAGATGTTAATTCTATTCGCACCTTATGAGTTCCTCGCATTCTCGCGTCAACGAGTTTTAAAATACTTGCACAATTTGAATAATAGGTGCGGAATGGGAGGAATTTTGTATACATACGTGGGTATGGGGGCGGGTGCAGGGAGAGGTATATATCCCCGCTATATATATATATATATATATATATATATATATATATATAGAGAGAGAGAGAGAGAGAGAGAGAGAGAGAAGGGATCTGGTGCATTTGAGGCTTCCCGTGCAGTTGTGCGGGTGGACGCACCTTAAGCATTAATCTGACGCACTTAAAGTACACAACACACGCACATTAAGCGCACAAACAAAACACCTTCAGAACACAACCTCAAGCATGTTAAGCACCAAGCCTCACACATGTTAAGTACAAGTGTCACGCATGTTAAGCACAAGTCTCACGCATGTTAAGTACAAGTCTCACGCATGTTAAGCACAAAACTCACGCACCTTAAGTTTTAAAAACAACTCACATTAAGTACACACTCACGCACATTAAGTACAAAACTCACGCACCTTATGCACACGACCCACGCACATTAAGCACAAAACTCACGCACATTAAGCATAAAACTCATGCACTTTAAAGTTTCAACAACAACTCACATTAAGTACAAAACTCACGCACATTAAGCACAAAGCTCACAAACATTATGCATAAGACTCACGCACATTAAGTACAAAACTCATGCACATTAAACATTACGCACTCATGCACATTAACCACAAATCTCACGCACATTAAGTACAAAACTCACTCACCTTATGCACACGACCCACACAAATTAAGCACAAAACTCACGCACATTAAGCATAAAACTCATGCACTTTAAAGTTTCAACAACAACTCACATTAAGTACAAAACTACGGCACATTATATTAAGCACAAGACTCACACACCTTAAGCACAAGACTCACACACCTTAAGCACAAGACTCACGCACTTTAAGCACAAAACTCATGCACCTTAAGTTTCAACAACTACTCACATTAAATACACACCCACGCACCTTAAGTACAAAACGCACGCACCTTAAGCACAAGCCCCACGCACCTTAAATACAAAACTCACGCACATTACTCACCGCACAACCGCACGGGAAACATGCATCTGCATTGGAACTTAATTTTATATATATATATATATATATATATATATATATATATATATATATATATATATATATATATATATATATAGAGAGAGAGAGAGAGAG